AGAAGCCCAGGGTTTGTTAAAAGGGGGCACAGCATCAGCAGGTTTCGCAATCAGGCTCCAAGTCACACAAGCTCACATCTCACATTTTGGAAAGTCTTCAAAAGTCAGAGTTACCCTTTCAACTTTTGCCAAGCGCTGACATTTTATAGTCTGTTTGGTGCTTTACATGACAATTTAAAAATGTTTGTGCTGTCTTGTTGAACTGATCAATAGCAGTGAGACATCTTCCTTATGTAGCTATTAGCAGCATTCTCTTCACAAATAACTTCTTTTAATCGCCAGAGGGTAAAAGCCAACAGTGAGATTTTATCAAGTGCATTCCAGCTGAAAAGATGAACAGTTTTCACAAAATTCAGGGATGATCTTCTGCTTTTTTTGGTCTTCAAATGTTAAGCTGCTTGTTCTGTACCTCGGGGGAGAAAAAAAAAACTGAAAACGTAGGAGCACACAACACCTTGCTCTGAGACTGAAAGGCGTGCATCCTCGCTTCCTCTCAAAATGTAGGAGCGTTGGCTTCCTCGCTCACAAAATGTAGGAGCGCTCACTGAAGATTAGAGCCCAGCTAAAATGGATGCCTGACCCGTGCTTGGAGAGCGAAAGAGAAATGAGCAGGGCAGCAGGAAAAGAACCTCTGTGCATAGACAGCCACACAGAGGGAATCCACATCCTTGTGCTCACACACACATACCGGTGCAGCGATGAACATGAATGTTTTACCTATGTGGCATTTCAGAAAACCTCACAGTAGCAAGAATCACAATATTTTTGTCTCTTTCAAGCTATTTTTTTGTTTTCTTTCACTGTTTCACTACTTCATTCAATCACCTTTACCATGATCTCCCATGCTCTTCTCCTTCTTCACCTCACTCCATCTCTCCCTGCACGTCGCTGCAACATCTCTGTCTCCTTCTCCCTCTGTATGTCTTTCTCCTCCATCCTTTCTTCATCACTCTTGCTCTGTCTCTCCCTGAGGTCATTGAGGGCAAGTAGGCTGCGGCGGACTAGTCGATAAATATCATGTCAGACCATTTCATGTGTTTTCAGGCAGAGCTACAGTCCATCTATCCAGCATTGTGCCACAGAGCGGCTCAGCTGTCTGCTATACTAAAAGTGTATTTACATTATTAGGATGTTAAGGGGTTTTTTTCTGCCCCAGTTTTTCAGGTGTGTAGCTGCAGTGAACATTACATTGGTTTTTAATGTGAGTAAAAAAAAAAAAGAGATCATGAGTGTCCAGTAATGGTTAAACCATTAGTTATTTTTTGCTTTTACATTCTAAATTAGGGTGGTGGAAACTAAGAATTTGTGCCGTACTTACATCTCTTCATTTAATGCTATTTCATACTCATTGGAATTTTTATTTTAGTAATTTGTTTTGGCAAATTTGGTCACTAGTTGCTTTAAAATTATTCTATTTTATACCTACAAAGTTAGGATGAGCTCAAAATATTAATATACAGTATTATAGCCCAAAGTACCCAACGCTGCATGTAATATGCCATAGCTATAGATAAAATAGATAAATTAAGGATGCAGGGCTTTAACTGACCACAGTCAGACTGGGAATGTTGTAGTTCCAGAATGGAGATTTTTTTTTTTCAGTGACATTATTACTTCACTAAATAAGATCTCAGAGATTCTACCACCACTGGTTGTGGAATTACTGTACATGGCAATATTGTGCTAAATTATGGTTTTGCCATAAGCAAATTGGATTTTGAATTTTCCAGACTGAAGATGAGGATGCATATAAAAATAGAGAGCAGGAGAAATAGTGAACCTGATAGACCACGCACCAGTAACAGGAGTTGACTATGGGGTGATTAAATAAATTACTGAGCTGAGGTCATATTCCCCGTCAAATGTCTTCACCATGAGTCACTGGATGTCACAAACTCTATGTCGATGCTCGTCTCTTCCCCACCACTCTGCAGCCCTAGGCCTTCTGAGGGTAAACGGAGAGACAGAGAAGAGGGAGTACATTTTCTCCTGCTCCTCCCTTTCTTCCTCCTCCACCTCCACCCCCTCTCGGGGTGTCACGTCCTATTTGTGTCCCCAGGCCATCTCTCTGGTGATGGTGATGGCAAAAGGGGCTCTCTTGCTTGGCTGGAGAGCAGGAAGGACTTGCACGGGGCGATGGTCTGTGCTCACGAGAGAGAAAGAGAGTGAGAATCAGCGATGGAGGGAGAGGGAGCAAGGGAGAGATGCACCCGTTCAGCCGTGCCTTTGACAGGGGAGTCTTTCCAACAGGCATGAAGAAAAGAAGGGCTGACTGGGCTGAGTGAGCTCAGCCTTAGACACACGCTCACACACACAAAGATATTTTTGCAGCTTACAAGGACATTGCAATGCAAATATTAATTTGCCCCAAGGTTTAACCCAGTGTTAACTTCATCCAGTCCATGCCAACACTGACCACAAACCTAAAATTTAAACATTTTCTTGCGGGGACCTGCTTTTTGTCTCGCAATAGGCAAGTCCCTGTAAGGTGGTTTTGTAAACAGATTTTTGACCCCATGAAGTGA